TCCTTGCAGTGTCAAATCTAGTGAATTAATGTATTTAGCTTTATTGAAAATACATCATCTGATTTGATGTTTTATTCACTCATGATTTTTCTTCCAATTAGAAGTCTTCTTCGCTTATGACTTTTCTTCCAATAAGGAGTCTTATCCACTTGCAATTTTTCTTTCAATTAAAAGTGCAGAAATGTCAATATTATGTGTTCATTTTCAATAGTATTTTATGAATTGATACTCAAATATAACATTGATTCTCCCTGTTTACTTATTACTGTACAAAGGAAATGAGACACATAGTAAATAATTATTCATCAGGTTGTATTGCAATCATTAGACATTGAGGAGGGAAACAGCCTGTGAAAATGGAGTTGTAAGTTAATGCAAAATATAATTTTTTTTTATTTTCAAGAAAAATTTGAATTGTTCAACTTTTTTTGCCATTTAAAGTTACTTTTGTCTTCTTTCAGATATTCTGATGAAAAACTTCATTAACCGACTCTCAACAATTCTTCGGGACCAAATGGCAATTCTGAGTTATATTCCAGGAACTTTTGATGATGAAACAGCAACAGGAATGTTAGGTAAATATGTGGATTTATATAACAGATGAGCTGAGGAGAGAGAAAAAAAAAAGAAGAAATGTTGACAAGATAGAAGCTTGCTTCTTCTTTTAAGAATGATATCAGCAACAAGGTCAATAGATTAATTGATTTGTTTTTTTTATGGCTTATCAACCCTTTGTGGGTTATTTAAAGCCAAAACATACTTTGGATTGAATGAAGTTGCTTACCATACTTGTGTTCCTGGGCAGTATCCTATGTAAGTACTGACCAGGCTCAATGTTGCTTAACTTTTGTGATCAAATGAGAAACATTGTTTTTAGTGTGATTTGACCATAGACAAGGTTAATGAAAATTTTCAGGGATTAAATCATTTCTCATGGTTGACTGATCTCTGTAACTTATGATATCACTAATAGGATTTATTAAGCAAATACCTCAAAAATTACTGTCACTCTAATAAATACACATATAACATGGGAGGATTTATTAATCCATTAATGTCAACCATCTGATTTTTTGAGCCTAGAGTGATTGACCATTATTACTGAATACTGAGTTCAATCCTTCCTGGGTGACCTATACAAAATTCAGCATTAAATAACTCAACTGACATGTCATAAAATTAATCAAGCATTCTTGCCAGACGACTATTTGTCACAAATCAAAACAAACCATGACTTATTGGTGGGAAGGTTCAACCTCCACTGCCTATCATGAACACCTGCCTCTGTTGCTATGGGCCAACCAACATAATAAAAATAATCAGCATTATTTCTGAAGCTACCCTCCTGCAACATAAATAATTCATAAAATTCCTTCTATTAAAATATTTTTTCTTTTATTATTACTATAATTGCTAGCATAAAAATTTCCCCTTTTCTCTCCACCTGTGGGTCACAGCCTCTGAATTAATTATTATTAGTGGGTAAGCTGTGGGTGAAAGGAATATTCTTACTGTTTGCATTTCCCCCATTATGGATGTTATTATATCCATGATATAATAACACCTTAATACACAGATAGGATGGAATAACTGAAATAAAAGGAATGACAAACATGTTTTATGCTGCTAAGTCACAAAATTATATAGACATATTTACATGTGTCCCAGGACATGTGTATATATGTGTCCAGGATTCTTGTTTGTTTCTGGAGAAGCTATATTTATATCTCCTAATGGGGAAATCAAGTGGGCCAGATTTATTTTCAATGTCACTAATGAGGATGTATTTCTGAAACAAAAAACCTGTGAGTCATGGGTATTTTCCACATTGAGACTGCTAGCTGGAGATAGTTTCTATATCTGATGAATACATATTTCCAAAGAAAAACAGTGTTTGTAAGATGCGCCACAGCTGGCTGGTCCTGGAAGAGGTCTTGTCCTGTCTGTATGAACAAATAATCCATGTTACTTGACTCCAGGCAATTAGCTGTCAGACTGCTTTCGTCAGTCTATGACGTCACTAAGCAGCTATCATGTGACCCACATGACATCTCAGACAAAGGGAGATAATCGCCTTTTGTATTCTTACATTATTATCACAATTATTATTATTATTAATATTATTAATGCAAATATTAATTATTTTGAATTATTATTAGAAATAACATTACAGAATTATTTAAATATAGCAAATTTTAATTGGATTTAATTAAGAAGGATGTAAATAAAGTAATTTTTTCCTAGTTTTTTTTTTTTTAATGAGTTTGTCCCAAGCAAAGCAGTAAAATTACTAAGACACTAGGGGTTACTGGGTGTGGAAGAATTAGAGACAAAAACATTACTATTTACATTGCTCAGACTATTGTCCTCATCTTTATTGCTATTCATGTTTCGTCTGTTGTATACTCTGGTCTTCTTCAGGTGATATATGTTGGAATTTGGAACTGAACATGTTATCCACATAACACATGCCCTCAGTGGGGACACAAGGCCCAGTGGATTAATCCAAAAATTGTGTAATCCAAAAATTGATGACCCAAAGAGCTGTGAGTTCAATACCTGGCCACAGCAGAGAGAACAAAAACTTGGAGGGTTGAGTTACTAAAGGAAATTAACTGAAACTGAGATCTTAAAAAAGACATGGCATGTGGAATTAGAACAATCTACTCCCATGGACTAAATAAAGGGTTTGGTTTGAAATTTCAACATATATCACCTGAAGAAGGCTGGAGCATACAATGGCCGAAATGTTGTGAATATGCTAATAAAGATGAGGACAACAGTCTGAACAATGTAAATAGTGTAAATAGTTACAATACCTCATCTCAGAAATATAAAGAAACATTATTAAGGAGTGAGAACAGAAGAAGAGTAATCAGGTGGACAGTAGATAGCGATTGACATCGCATTCAAATTTTTGAAGATTAAAGTTGGCTGGTAAGCATGAAGCTGGAAGGGAGTTCTATAAACAATAAGTATGAGAAAAGAAACTGTTAGCATAGAATTTACCGTTGCATCTAGCCAACTTCACCATAAATTGATGAGATCTTAACACCAGTCTAGTACTACACTTAAATTCAAAAAGTCTAGGTACCATAGCAAAGAGCTCATTTGAACACTTACCATAAAAGTATTTATAGAAAGGACAGAGAGAGGCAACATGACAATGGGAAAGTGACTGAAGCCAAGCTGCCAGATCAGGACCAATAATATTGCTGATTCTTCTTTGGATCTTATCAAGGGACTCAAGGTAAATAACAGGGGCACAGGATCATATGTGGCAGCAATATTCTAATCATGGGTAAATGGTAGACTTATAGATATGTAAGATAGATTCTGGAAAGAAAAATTGTCTTGCTCGACATAGTGAACTGACTTTCTTAGAAGTTGACCTAGCAATTAATTCAATATAGTCTTTCCACTTCATATCAACAGAGAACATGAGCCTGAGAAGGCTCAACGGGTCATTTTCCTGAAGGATAGCATCAGCCATGCTGACTGAAGGCAGCAAGGGGTCTTTCAGATGATTAATGGAGGGAAGTTTAATTTTGGAGATGTTAAAATTAACAAGCCACTTTTGCCCTCTCCACCCACTTAATAGAGTAGATTATTTTGGACATTGGCTGCCATTTTGCCCTTGTCAGACTGATAAGCCTTAGTATTGAGGCAGGAGTAAATGGTTGAGTCATCAGCGTAGATACTGTGTTGGAATGTGTCACAAAAAAATAAATGATTTCGTCTCTTTCTCTCCTGCTGTCGTAGCGATGGGCACAGTCTCCACTTCTGAGACTGAAAACTGCCCTCCTGCTCATTCCAGCTCTTTACATAGAGCTTGGTAACTCACCTATGCAAAACACCAACAAGCCAGCTACCAATCTCAGTTCTCGTGCCTGCCCACCTCCACTCACTTTGGGGGTGTCAAGTTGACTGACCAACTCATTACAGATACCAAGTTGAGAGCTCTTGCCATTGGGAAGATCATTAATGAAAATTAAAGACAAAGACACCTGCATTAGTACAAAAGGATCTAGAAGAGTGGCTGTTCAGTATAATTTTCATTTCACCATTTGATAGGAAAGACTGGATTGATTCAAAAATTTGTGCTGGACACCATAACTTTTCACGCATTGTGGAGAATTGAGGAATTCCCAAAGCTCAAAGCCAAACCCTTTCTAAGGTTCATATCTATCTAAAAAAAAAAAAAAACAAAAAAATGAATGTTTCTTTCATGGTCAGCTCTATGTATCTATGTCTAGAGTAAGAAATTCAAGTGGACTTAGGCTTACAGCCAAGTCATGTTGAAACACTGGTTCCTGTACGATCACCAAAGTTAAGCAATGTCAAGCCTGGTCAGATGGGTGACTGCTTGGGAATACCAGGTGCTTTAAGCTTAGATGTGTAGGTGATGTAATGGATAATGGCTCCAAATTGTTAATCGGAGAGCCAAGTTCCAATTCCAGTCAGGTTCATTATATTCGCTTACACCCTTGTGCAAATTAATTGAAACAACTGCTTTAGTTTCCTTTCTTTCACCTTACGGTCAGTTTTAGACCCACTGTAATGACAGGGTGTAATCTTTTCCTCAAATTAGGCCATTTGCAGTGGCGTGCAGTAATATGAATCTATTTTTGGGGTGTATGATCAAATTGTTTGGCCTTGAAAAATATTGTGTCATCCATGATTGCATCAGATTTTCATCATTCCCGGACATTATTGTCTCGACTGTCGATTAGTTGCCCTACAACCATTGCCTGTGATGGATGTTACTCAAAGGAATGTATGAAAATTGTAACACTACAAGAACACAATGGCAAGCCTTACCAGTGAGCAAATGAAAATATTGGCTCGGAAACTCTAATGATTTAAATCCAATTGAAAATCTGTGGTCAATCTGCAAGGAAAGACTTTGTGGAATGGACATGTGAAGTACTAATATGTGTACTGGGTCATGTTTTATTGGAAAAAATACAAAAAAAAGTAAATAACGATAGAATTGTTTTGTTTCAATTAATTTGCACAAAGGTGTGCATGCATATACCCTGGCAGAAGGTATGAATCCACCTATTCTCCCCTAGCTATGGGTTAATTAGTAAGACTTGTATTACTAAATCCTTATCTTACAAAAAAGAAAAAAATTCTTACAATCTAAAAATATTTTCTGGCTTTAAATGACCTGCAACAGGCTGATAAACTGTAAAAAAATGACTACATCAATCAGTTGGGTGGAGTTGGTATAATGACAAAATAATAAGGTCTGAATAATGTAAATAATGTAAGTAATCATAATACCTCATCTCGGAGATATAGACAGACAAAAGAAACTTTAGAAAATAGATGTCTTTAAAATGTTGTTTATACAGAAATTTTAGTGAGGTAAAAGAATTTCTATGACAACTTATTTTTCTCTGTCTGTAGGATGAGGATTTGGAGTTTAAGAAATTCATATAACATTTTTATTTCTTGATTTACAGATCATGAATCTCCAGCAATGGCAAAGCATAAGTCTTTGATACCCCTAAGGAAACACCATATGTTGGAATATGACCAAGACAACAGACGATTCAACATCCATGGACTTTTAAAGGATTGCCTCAATATCATGGATATTATCAAAGATTATCCCAGTAAGATACTTACTTGTTTAATAGATATTATTTAATAATGTAAATCTTTTGTTATCCCTTTCCCCTCTCCTTTTCTGTTGTTCCTTTTCTTCACTCCATTTCCTCTCTCCCTTTTCCTCTCTTCCTCTCTCCATTTCTGTTGTCCCTTTCCTTCTCTCTATACTTATTGCTCTTTCTCTTCACTTTGTTATTCCTTCCCACACTTTCTGTTATGCCTTTCCCGCCAGTCTCTTTGTTATCTTTTCCCTTCTCTTTCCATTTCTGCTATCCCTTTCCCTCTCTCTATTTCCGTTGTCTCTTTCCTTCTCTCTATTCCTATTATCCTTTCCCTCTCTCCATTTCTGTTGTCTCTTTCCTTCTCTATTCCTATTATCCTTTCCCTCTCTCCATTTCTGTTGTCTCTTTCCTTCTCTATTCCTATTATCCTTTCCCTCTCTCCATTTCTGTTGTCTCTTTCCTTCTCTCTATTCCTATTATCCTTTCCCTCTCTCTATTTCTGTTGTCTCTTTCCTTCTCTCTATTCCTATTGTCCTTTCCCTCTCTCCATTTCTGTTATCCCTTCCCTTCTCTTGATTTCTTTTATGCCTTTCCCCCATTGTCCTTTTTATTGCTTCTCTCCATTTCTGTTATCCTTTACCCTCTCTTCCTTTCTGTTACCCACTTCCTCTTCATTTCTGCTATTCCTTTCTCACTCTCCATTTCTCAATTTTTCACAAAAATAGATTTCTCTGTCTACTGTTATTGCTCTTTCTATTATTCATGGAGTTTCCTTCCTAACATTTTGTTTAAGGTACTGTGGAAAGTCAACATCTTGATTATATCATTATTTTCTTTTTAAGTTACATGTGCTATCCATTTTAGTTGTTGCTGCTGTTGAAAGTCTTCAAGTGATGTGGTTTCTGCTATTTGGTAAAGTTCTTTGATTGTGATTCTGCAGTGCCAATCTATGAGATCTGATGAAGGAGAGTCTTCTTAAAGACTTACAGGGGTTCATTTGCTTGTAAACATACTCTGAAGTCCCTCTCTCAGTCTTTGACTGACTGAACAAATCACCCCATGTTGTGTTTCGATTCTTATATGTGTCAGTGTGAACAAAAACTGAAAAATGCCCAGTGTACAGTCACAAAGAAACAAAAGGTGAAATTAATCCTACATTGAGTAATGAAAAACCTGTTTCCAATATATTTTGGCTTACAGCCATATCACACTGAAACACAGGTTGGAAATCAGAGAGATGAATTCCAATTCCAGTCAGGTTCATGAAATTCACTAATGCACAAATAGGAAAGGTATGAATGAATCTCTTCACCTCCTGGATTAATTACTAGGAGTTGCATCACTAAATCATTATTTCAAAAAAATTCTTACAATCCAAAAATATTTGCTGGCTTTAAATAATCTGCAAAAGTTTGATAAGCTGTAAAAAAAAAAATATCAATCAAAGATATCTGGCTATTTATTCACAGTCTGGGGTTAGGTAGCGATTTTCCAAGCGTAGCTTAGATGTGGCACAAGACTGAGAGTATAGGGCACCCAGTGAGGATCAATCTCACTACTCATTCATAATTGTGCTAGCGAAACAAGCTTGCTAACCATTACACCGCCTCAGAGGTGATTTTCCAAGTGTAGCTTAGATGTGGCACAAGGACGAAAGTATGGGGCACCCAGTGAGGATTGAACTCACTACTCAGTCGTAATTGTGCTAGCAAGACAAGCTTGCTAACCATTATACCGCCTCTAGGTGCCTGAGTCTGGGGTTAGGTAGGTGAAACTTGAGACAACTTTGCTGCTCTTCTGTCACAATAGACTAACAGACTAAATTTTCCTTTTGGCCTGCAAGAGTTCCTACTTCTTTCTACCACCACTCTCTGATCACTTCTACATCACAACATATGACTTGCAACTCCCTAACAGTTAACCTGAAACTAACCATTCTAGCTGTCACTCTGCTTATATAGACCATTCTAACTTCTAGATTTTTAGCACTTGATCCCAAAAGTTTTTAGTTATTTATCTATTCATTTCTCTTGGGTCTACTTGGGGACATAGGGTGGCCATTTTAAAGATCCTACTTTTGGACTTTTAGGATGCATGGTGGAGTAATGGATAGCGGCTTGGAATGAGGAATCGGAGAACTGAGTTCAAAATCCAGTCAAATCCATTACATTCACTTACATGCTAATACCCTTGGGAAAGATATGAATCCTCTTCTTCTCCCCCATCTATGGGTAAATAGCAGGACAGACCGGGTTCTATAGCCTTGAATGGCAACTGGTCTACCACAGAAAGAAATGGCAACCTACTGCAGGAAAAAAAATATACCTTGTCAGTTATGTATTGAAAGATACATGATCTCCTAAGCGTGTATCACGCATGGCACATAACTGACTGAATTTTGGACTTTACTATTAGTCATAAAACACCAGATCCTTCATTCCCAGAAAAAATCATTTAGAGCCCACTTGACTGTATGGTTTGGTCTCATTGCATTACACCATTTTAGGAATGGTGTCCAATATAAAGTCAGTTTAAATAACCATTTAGATATTAACAAGATATGTTTAGTTTCCTGCAGACATAAACAAAAACTTGTTTTTACTCAACAAACAGTATTTTATTTCTAGTTGTTCTTACTATTCAATCTTAATGTATAAGGTGTCCAGAAGTGATTCAGTCATTTTGAATATATTGAAAACTGGTTGTACAGCTTTTAGAACTTTGCAACTAGAAGGGACATTACTGCACATGTGCAAATAGACACTCTCTCATTGAATTACTGAATTAACAATGAGACACCATTGAATGTGTTTGTGTCATATGTGACCTGTCACATTATTATACAGTTTATTTGTTTTTTTTTCGCATGACCTGTGAAATCTCTGACCGTCCGGATTTAGCTCCCTGCAACTTTTAGCCTTTTTCAAAGCTACAAATATACATAACTTTGTATAGTCAAAAGAGAAGATTTCAGAACATGAATGAGATTGTGATTCACATTAAAGATATTGTAACATGATGATCCCAAGAGGACTGTTTTGAAAAGTGAGAGAGACACAGATAATTGCGTGAGCTCTCAAGAGGAATACTTGAAAAAGAACTAAGGTGCCATTGCCCTAGGCAGGCTAATTTTTATCAATAGCAGATTGTTGAATATTTTCTGTACAGACCTTTTAATATATTTATATAAATAATGCAAGGAAAGTAAAACACTATAAGACTTTATTTATTCTTATTTTGTGTAGTAATTACTTGGTTGACAAAGCAAATAAAGATAATATTTCTACTATTAATACTGCTAATGTAAAATCAAAACCAATATAATACTTCTTACAGCCATATCTCATTGAAACACCTGTAAAAATTTTAACTCCCTACCAAATTTAAAATCCTTGTGCCAAACATAAAAACTTAGTAGGAATAGAAAGTTGTATAATTTGCAATCAAAACTCAAGCCACTGCATAAAATTTTAAAGAACAAACATTTATTACAGTATACAGAAAAAAATTTATATAGGTACAATTTCCTTTTGGGTGCCTTATAAATAATTAAGGTAGGATATATATTACAGATATATTGCAAGAAAAGGATAAACATTGAAAATGAGAAAATTATGATTTCAAAAATGATAAAAAGAGAAATGTTGTAACCTAGGGAAGGTTACTGAATAGAATAATCGCATGAAAGTTGGTAATAAATGATAATACTTAGGATACAAACAACCTATATAAGATTCACTAGCAGCATGTAGAAGATGTAGTCAACTGCTAGAAGTGAGTCAAGAGAATTCCACAATGAATCTCCAACTGCAGACCAACATACAGTATTTACTACTGTATTTATGTGAATGGGGACATACCCATTATCATCTGTAGGTATGCTACAACAAGAAAGCAATTCAAGAAGGCAGAAAAACAACCACCTTTCAGAAAACACCTACTTTTACTTGTCCCACGAGCATCTCTGGGACATAATTTTGGAAATGTCTTTTTTATATTCACAATGTTCATGCTTGGGGAAATTTCTTTGAATTCTTTTTTTTTTATTGTCCAACTGCATGAGAATTTTCACTTGAACTTCAAAATTCTTTTGGACTCTCTGCAGCTGGTTCATAATTCTGTGCCTTCTTGTCAAGATGCTTTCTGCCCTTATCTGCTGACCTTAGTTCTATTTATTCAAAAAAAGGAGGCTCACAGAAGGCCTCTATTCAAGTTACAAAAACTGTCTGGCCTTCTTAAAAATACACTTCTCTCAAAAGAATCTGTACAAAAAAAAAAAACAACCTAGATGGTTAAACATTTATTATATAGACCAAAGACCAACAGTAATAAAAAATTTTATACACCTGTTTCCATACAATTACCAAAGTTAAGCAATAAATCACACTTTTATTTATACATGATGCACAAATGTAGTAGTGAACACAAGATTACATACAAATATTTTGAAAAAAGGAATGGCTCTATTTGAAGGCATATCGAAGAGCATAAAATTTCTAATAACTTAATAACTATATATGCTTAAAGGCTGAGACTTTTCAGATTAATAATTTGATATGCTTTTTAAATGCTGTATTTTTTTTATCTGTCTCCATAAATTATATGTTAATTAAATTTTATTTTATGTTGGTATCCATTCAGTTGGGATATTATATCTTATTAATAATTTTCAATAAAAAAAGTTTTTATTTTGTCTGGAAGTGATTAAATAATAGATTCAAGTTATAGTAAATATAGTCTATCTAATTGGTTTGTTTTATCAAATCTTAATTTATATAAAGTTTTAAAGTTTGGATTTACAAACACTAAAAATTAATGCATGCACTATCATAATCCATAAAGGAAAAATATAACAGTATCTGTTATGTCATTCCTATTAAGCCAATAGAATTGAATAAACAGTCTTAAAGAATATTTTTCTGACATAATTCCAGAAATGTTAAAAAGCTATAGATCTTGGTTTTTAAAACAAATAAAAGTTATATTTGAAGTTGATTATTTAATCTACAGAATTTTTCAAAGGTAACTCACCAATACTTTATTTGTTATTTTTAACAGTTGTTTAATTTCAGGTTTGTTTAAAATTTCACTAAGAACATCAAATCATTCCATGAATCTTTTAAGGAGCTTACTCTTTGATACTTTCTAATGATTCACAGAATAGCATCTCCTCCCCCCCAGATAAATCTCCATGTATGATATTCCGAAGCAGTCACCCATCTAGGTACTGACCAAGGTCGACATTGCCTAACTTAAAACATCAAATCATTCCATAAATCTTTTAAGGATCTCTATGTTGATACTGTCTAATGATTCACAGAATAGCATCTCCTCCCCCCAGATAAAACTCCATGTATGATATTCCCAAGCAGTCACCCATCCAGGTACTGACCAGAGTTGAAGTTGCCTAACTTCAGTGATCAGCACATGGACCCAATAGTGTGCAGAAGGAGGGACAGAGGATGCAACAGACCTGAGCATCCATATTGGGAGGACATCCAATAAAAAAGTGAAATAAAAATTTAGTTTATATTTAATTTGAATGAAGTGTTTATTTCATGTTTCATCTATTTTTATGTATTTAAAACGTCTTCCTTTCTCATATTTTTCAGTAGTAGGCCCTATAGCTACCCCCACCCCTACTTGAGTCTTATGGACATGCAATCAAAGAGTTTGCCCCTGCATCACCAAACATTACTAAACTTATGCATGTCACTGTGTGAACTGGTGTTTCAACATTATATAGCCATAAGCCTCCTGTTTGGAAATGACACAATATTTTTATGTTTTGCATGTAAATGTGCCTCAAGGCATCCAAGTTTCATTGAGTCATTTGTCAAACACTGTTGACATTACAAGTAGAAATGTAACTTTTCATCCTGCACTGCAGGTATGAATTGAAACTTTTGCCACTTCTCTGAATACTGATAAATTTTTTTCTTAACACAATTGGATAAATACCTGTAAGTAAAGAAAAGAAAAACTGTAGAGGATTTTCTAAAAAGAGAATAAATGCAAACTTACTGCAAATCTATTATGAAGTTTTCATAAATGAAGGATCCGTGGCAGAACCTACAACATTTTGACTGTTGTATTCAAGAAACGATTTATAGCACACTGGTCACCAACCTTTCCCACTTGTAATTGTAGGTTAATGATCTCCCATCAAGGGCAAGAATGTTGTTGGTCTTATAATTGATGATTAGTAGAAAATATAACATGTTGTTTGTTAAAAGTTCATTCAAGTTTTTTAACCAAAAATTGACAGAAAAAAAAACATTTTCTTGCTTTGTTTATTAAAGCAAGAGTAGTTCCTAAAAATTCTAAAGTTTTTCATATTTACGTATAAATAATACAAATATCTAAATTTAAGTCTTTCAAGCCAACTTTTGTTTTCCATTCGGGTTTTAATTTACCAATTTAAAAAGAAGTGCTTTATCTTTTATCTAAAATTTTATTTTATTTGTGTGTGGGTCCATGTGCTCCATAGTCCTGGTTATGATGATAAACTACACCCAGCAGCAAGACCTTTGATCAGGAGATTGGCGGTTTTGAGGAGCATGGAACCACCTCTTAATTGCTGCTGTTCCCAGATCCACTCTGACCCTAGGTGGTAGCACATGATAGGGTCCCAATTATGGGCAAATAGTAAACCCCCAAACAAAAACGAAACATTATGAAAGTAAAAAAAATATAAAATTTTTATATAAAAAAAAAAACCAAAAAAATCATGGCTATTATTGAGAAGTAGGATTTTTTTAAAGAATATAATAATAGAATTTAATTGAAAAATATTGCATATTGTCTTTCATACTGCTAACTCTCCTAGAGGGACCAGGAGACTTTCCAATTCTGAGCTTTTTTTATCCTGGTCTATTGGTTTGTAACTAGTGTTCTCCTTGTTTGGCTTAAGTGTTGGTCTTCCGCTAAGTGTATGATAGTTTTTACATGATTCTCTCTGTAAATAAATTGTTGAGCTATCTCCACTGCCAAGTGAAAAATATTTCCTGTTTAGCCCGCATGTTTTGAAAACTGGTTCACCAATGTGGGTCAAGTTTCAATTAAATTATTGCAGAGATAACGTTTCTTGATAACAGATTTACTGAATCAAAGATTCTTTACACATGAAACATTGGCCTAAAATGGGTTATGCTGGTTCAAAATAAAATCCTGCCTCTGCTGGAAATAACTGCTGTGAATTCAAAGAATAATGTTTTTACAGTTAACATTCTAGGACTGATTTTTTAAAAATCTTTGTTTTTCCCTGTTTTGGGGATAATCTCCCTGTTTTTCTGCAATTAGAAAATCTAAATCTCCAGGTTTTAAAATCTTTAGGTTGTCAGGTCTGCTCTTGGTATTGCCCCAGACTAATATTTTACTGAACACAGGATAACGTTAATTTCAAGCCAATTTAAAAGAATATACTAAGTGCCACTATAAGGGTTAGGAGATAAATCTGTTATGGATAAGTTGTTTATTCTATGATAATTTCCATTACCTCCATAAGGTATATTTGATTTGGGTGCATATTTTTATATACACATATTGTGCAATGATTAAAAGAAAATGGCACAGAGTGTTGATAAGTACAAAACAGACCTTTATATACACAAATACAGAAGGATGATGTGAAAGATGGTTCCAAGAATTCAAGTGTAAAAGTTCTGCCACATACAAGAAATAAAGAAAGAGTTAGGGAGAAAGTAAATATGTATGTATGTATATATATGTGTGTGTGTATATATATATATATATATATATATATATATATATATATATATAGTAGAGCTGAGTTTTAATTCCATTCACTTATGTGCTAATACCATTGGGAAAGGTATGAATCCTCTTCTTCTCCCTCGAGTTATAGTCTCTACACACTCTGTGTTTAGAAAGAAAACACTTGTTTGAACACAAGAAAAATTAAATAAAAAGCTTAATTGTCTGTCGCCTTTAATGAGAAATGTATGTATGTGTGTGTGTGTGTGTGTGTGTGTGTATATATATATATATATATATATATATATATATATATATATATATAATGTATATGTATGAATGTATCCAAATGTAGTAGCTGCCACTTGACCACATGGTGTAGTAAGGTATGTTTGTTTTTAACATAGTAAGGGTGGGTTAGCCAAGTAAGTTCACCAACTAGTCGGGCAAATGCTGTATTTTGTTTCTGGATATGAAATGTATTTCGTTTCAGGATTAGAGAATGGACAAAATTAATTTATCGACTTTATTTTTGGTTGATTTTCCATCTGTTTATTTATACATCTATAGATCTAGTTCAGAAAGGGTGCTCTGCTTCTCTGATTTTCAGCCTATATTCTGATTATTTGAAACTTTCTTATTGGTTAGTTGAACAATCTAGTTTTAGAAATGGTGAAATTTTGGTCTCCTTATTATTTGTTTGTTTTATTATATCCTGAGTGTGAAAACTTTCTGATTGGTTGGTTGAACTATTGCTTTATTTGCCTGGCGATTTTTATTATTCATCTATTTTTAGAGATGGTGAAATTTTGTTCTTGTTATTTATTTATTTTTATTTATTTATTTACTTCTCTATTAATGCATTATCATGGATTTCCTTAAAAAAAATGAAATAAAACAAAAAAATTAAAAATGCATTTTAAATATGCATTTGAAGTTAAATTTTGTTTATACTTGCTATTCTATATTAAAAGAAAAAGAAAATTCCGTATGTATCTTCCAAGTCATCTTGGCTGCCTCATCCTTTAAAAATACCCATTTAACTCAGCCACGATGCCCCCCTTCTACTCCCTCACATGAAAAGAGATGCACAGAGTGTTAGCCCCTAAAGGGCAAAAATATTTCAGTAATGTTGTTTTTTATTTTATTTCTTTTACTAGGCTCAAGAGCCATTCAAAGTAAAGGCTTACTAAATAAGTTTGTATATTCTTTGAAAACCATTTATGTGTACTTTGAATGAAAACTTTTTTTTTCACATGTTTGTACTCAGACATTTTTTTCTAAATTTTTTTTTTTTTTTTTTGCAGTGGTACGAAGGCGGTATACAAAGGTTTTCTATGCTATATTTGACAAGCTGCAGAGGAAGCTCAATTCCCCACTGTATCAGGATGCTTTGAAAGATATCAGCTTGGAGCATCAAAATCTACAGAAATTGATGACCGATGTAGAATATTCCGATTATGAAACCTTCCCGTTTTTTGTCAAGATGGTTGAAATTGGTCAAGATGTACTGGAAACACATTTAAAAAGTATGTCAGTTCTTTAACCAAAGTGACTTGTTTTTGTATTTAAGCTCTGCCTGTAGAAATTTGTATAACAATATCACATTCTTTTTTTTCTTTCATTTGTACAAGGAGACAAAAGACTAGAATCGTTCACTAAAAAATTTAATTTCATTCACACACACACACACACACACACACACACACACACACACACACACACACACACACACACACACACGAAGAAGAAAAAAATCAACCTAAGGCCAATAAAAAGCACATAAATTATTTTTTTTAACTTAATATAAAAATAACAAAAGTGAGAAAATTGGCAGACAATTGCTGAAACCTCCTGATGAACAATTACAAAAAGTTTTATCTAAAAAAATTCTGAGTTGGTGTGCTGAATATAACATCAATCAGCTAAGTGACAAATTTTATATTTGTATTAATCTTTATATATATATATGTCAATATACCTCATAACACCCTTGAGCGCTTAGCCTTGGAGTGGGTAGAATGGAGATCAATGTGTTTTAGTGGACTCAGCAGTTTTCAATCAGTTTGTCTGAATCATCTTCAAGAAGCGAGAGCAAGATCTAAAAGGTCAGCAAACAGTGATCTCATCCCACAATACTCACTTTTGCTTCATATGCGGACTCCTTTGTAAATCACTAGCAGGTCTTAAGTGCCACTTAAGGTTATTGCACAAAATTTCATAACTGAATCAACTAAGCTGTCAGATCCTCATATGTCGAAACTGACAGGAGAGTCCATTACATTATATATATATATATATATATATATATATATAAATAAAAAGAAAGAACAGTAAGATATATAATCCAATGTTCTTATAGATATTTTTATTTTTACAAAATAGTGCTCAATGTAAATTTACAGAGCATTAATATTATAAATTAATTGATTTAAAATATGTTTTTTTTGCTACACAGTTCTAACCAGGCCGAGAGGGGTAACTAGATGTCTGGGCAGCCCTAGTTCTCCATATATCCTGCCCAGGCTTGTAGCGCACCATGCTACTCCATCGTCTCTTGAGACGGATGCCGCTGCTGCTGACGATGGATTATACTCAAAGACATAATTTATTCCCTGTTTTTAGCTTCAGAAAACATGGGGTCATACCATACTCAAGTTGTATTATGCACAAGGAAATACTGTTAGTCATCCAAATCAAAATTATGGATAAACTGTCTGAAACTCATGTTTTGTTCTGCTTTTGTTTGAGTATTTTCAACTGAATCTTATCAGTATGGTAGACAATTTTTTGAAATGCTACAATTCAAATTTATTAAAAATGTATGCACATCAAATGTAGTCATGTGCAAAATGGTTTCACAGAGCTTGACAAAATGAGTAAAGAAATTATTTTATACAGACAATGTATGTTAAAAATTATCTAACTTTATTTTTTCCTGTCAAAAATAATGACATATAGGCAAAATCATACTAATAGTTGTCTGATGTTAATATTTGTACTTTAGTTGTTTGTGATATCATGATCAGTATGTAATAAGTGTTGATAGTTGACAAGTTAACCTACAAGAGAGTGTAGTGCATGAGTGGCCATTGTAAGAATTTATTGTTGTTTTTTGATTAAATTTTGAAATGTCATAATGCTTCAAATGAAAACGAAAAACAATTTCTTTGTATTTTCTGCAGGTAACTGTTTTGAGTTCTTTGAGAAATGTCTGCAGCTCACCTACAAATTTGCTGACAAAACGCAAAAGGCAACAGTTCTTATTGGTTATGGCCGAGCACAGACGAATATCAAGGTTGATATTTATCACTCATTCATTCTTTGAAGTTTCCTTTTTTGGGGTTTTTTTGTTTTCCAAATTTTTTTGTTTTTTTTTTTGTTAGAAAATTGAGTTGGTTCCAAGTCTGCTCACTGATAATAAATGATTCTCAAATTGTAGTCTGATCATTATTGACTTGCTCTCAGGGATTAGACTCCTTACCCTACAACCCATCCTCACTGGGTACTCCATAAATTTAACCCTGTGCCAAACATTTCATTCAACTGTAGCATGTGGCACCATTGGAAAGTCCCTGAAAACTATGTCATGTGTTGACCCAAGCCTTGTGAGTGAAATTGGGTAGACAGAACCCTTGTAGGACTCTCAATCGCTGTGCTAGCATGAAGTCACAAGTCATTGTGACTGAGGTTTTGAGCGTGCTGACCTTGTTTAGATTTTTGATCTTGCTAGATAATGCGCTTCTCTCCCAGAAACTATAACTAAGGTCTGCTCAGCATAGTTGAGGTATAAACCACAGGTGGGCTCTGTGGGTGTTGAACAAACACAAAATGTGCCTGAGCAAGCATTTGCAATAGGGATTAGCTAGCCGCCCTAGTAGACAGGTATCCTCGAATACAAGTGGTCAGTCATTATTATTTTATATATATATATATATATATATATATATATATGCTACATATATCTATAAAAAGAAGATGTCTCTCTGTGTGTCTGCCTTTGTATGTGTATGCTATTTCTTGACTGATTTTGATGAAATTGTACATACCTGTTACAAATTTACCAAGGTTGTTCAAGACCAACTTTTCAATCTCCAGGCGCCCAGGTTTGGCAGAAAAATTGCTAAAACTGAAGGTGGGTACAACTTTTTGCAAAAACCAAAGCAGAGTTATGCATGGACAAAATTTTTACTGGATGAGTTGATCTTTGCACTTAATGCAAAACATAGATCATATTATGAGGTTTAAGTAAAGTGCTTGATGGTTTTCCTGTGACATTGGCTTCACACAAAAAATTACAAAAAACTATGAAAAAAATTGGGTTTTTTGTACTACTTGAAATAAAAACTTGAATAACTTTCTCATTTTTAATCCAATTTTCTTCAAACATGTCACAAAAAATTTGCTATCATGCACGAATAGCGTGCTTTTAGTCTTGCTCACTTTTCTGTGTCTAATGAAAAACCACGAAAAACTGTTCAAAAAGCCCATTTTTCAGCCATAACACCCTGATTTTTCATCCAATGCTTTCCAAATTTGCCATGTAAATTACATATGACACACAAATTGTCTTACACAAATTTTTGGTTTAGATTATTTCAGTTAAGTGGACAAAATCTGCAACAAACTAGGTCCAAAATCAGCTTTTGCCATTTAGCCAATAGTTTCTTCATAGGATTCCATCATATATAGGTATTCGAACAACCTTTGATGCAAAAATTGTTTGAGAATGATTATTGAAGTGTTAAAAGTGAAAAATTCCCAAAGAACCTCTTATTAACTTCAGCTTTATAGTAAACATTTGAAGAAGGAGTGGGGGGGCATTCATACGTTTGCACTTGCAGTTGAATCAAGTTCTGACACTTCATCCTTGTTTTTGTTTAGTCATTAGATTTGTGAACAATGCCATACTATTTGGCTCTTGAATAGACTTTGAAGATGGAAGCCAGAGTATGAATGTTTATACCGTTTCCGAGTTGCAACAATCTGTATCATGCTTGAACACAATCTTCTACAGGCTTGGATACCCAACAATAAACTCGGCCTTGTGCCACATCTGACCACATGGGGCGGTTAGTGAATATCATCTTCAGGACGTGTGTTTCATTTTGGCTTAACCACCGTATTTGGCGGCATGTAAGGTGAACGGGTGTATACAATGCACCCTAATTTCATCAGGGCAAATCAAGAAAAAATTAGTAATTAGTAAAATTATTAGTAAATTGTACAGCCTAAGCTATATTTATGAGGCATTGTTTTGGTTAAACAAGCCATGGTTACAATTAAACAAAATATAATAGGAAAAAAGGACACAAGCCTATAAAACCTTTATTATATCCTTTATATGATCTGTACAACCTGCGTCTTGTAAACGTCTTATTGGAATAATTAGGATATAAAAATTCTGATTGTATTTATACCAATGCAACCGGAAGTTATCACAAGAAAAATGTTAATGAAAGAGCTATATTTTACAAATATATAATTTGAATTTATTGCATATAATTTTAATGAAACAAAGTACTAATAGTAAATGTGATGAAATTAATATAATGAATATTATCAATAACACTTTTAATCTGCATAATAGGCTTTGAAATAATGACAACAGATATACAAAAGTTACTCTAAAGTCTAAGCTAATAGGAGTTGCCAGGTAGCAATTTAAACCAACTATCACAAATTTTAAACCTACATATGGCATATAAGATGCAGGGGAATTTTAAAAGATATTTTTAGTCAAAAAAAGTGCACCTTATATGCCGTCAAATATAGTATTTATATATGGTGTTAATGGTGCAACATGGGTAGTAAATTCTATTGTATTTTCCTATTGGTTATTGTGTAGGTGGTAATGGTTATGGTTCCAATTATTCTAGAGGCTATTGAGTAGGAATAATTGTGAATCTGAATGCAGTTATTTTTATGGATTTTATAGTGATTTTTGTTAACTTTTTACTCATTATTTATTTTTAGTTACTTAATTTTATGTTGTTGATTATTTTTATTACATTTACTTGTGTGTTGTGTGCCTTCATAGTTTGATAATTTGTTTGTTATTTACGTTATTTATTTTGTTTTTCTTTATCTTATTTAAAAATAAATTTGTTTGTATTTGGAGACAAAATAACTTATAGAATTATCCCAACAGAGGTCTCCTAGATGTTCATGAATGCAAGTCTTTAGATCTTTTGACATACATGTTATGTCTACATAACTAATGAAAAAAAGAAAAAACAACATAGAATAATTTAATAACAAAAACATAAACAAACATTATTTCACTTACCCAAAATATCTTCTGATTAAGCTAGATTTTGATCTGTGGGACAATCAGGTAGAGGAATTTTGGCATTTTAAATCTAATTTTTCTTGCTTCTTAATTGTGACTCTAACAATCAAGATGAGGATACTAGTTTGAATTGATCAGTGTATAATAATAATAATAATAATTCCTCATCTCAGAAAGAGCTGAAAACATTGTCACTCTAACAACCAAGATGAGGATATAGTCTAGATCAATAAATTGATCAGTCAAGATGAGGATACTAGTCTAAAATAATAATAATAATAATAATTCCTCATCTCATAAAGAGCTGTGACTAACAACCAAGATGAGGATACTAGTCTGAATTGATCAATGTATAATAACAATATTAATAATAATTTCTCTTCTCAGAACGAAATTTTCATGATAATGTTATTTATTTTGTTCAGGGAAATTATGAATCTGGTCAAGAGAAGTTGTGTCAAGCCATTGAGGTTTTAGATGATCTGCCTTGTACTTATGCCACTGCTCAAGCCTACCAATCTTTAGGATTCACTTTGCAAAGAAAAGGAGAAGTAGAAGAAGCCCTAAGGTGAGGAATCTTTGTCAAATATTCATGGCAACATCAGCTCATTTATTCCAATTAATTATTTGCAGTACAAGTAAAAATTTATTGCTCATAGTAATATAACTTTTTCCTTATATGGAAACATTCGGCATGCATTGACCAAGCAGCCTGTTGACTTGAATTACAATTTTCTTCATTCTATAGCCATTGTGCTGTGATCAAAATGTAGTATCTGTTCTTCTACTCTCTAATGGTAATATTTGCCATTTCCATATATAGAAATATTCAGCTATCATTGACCAAGCAGCCTGTGTGACTTGAATTAGAATTTTCTTCACAATCTGGTCATCAGGTTGGGATCAAAATGTAGAATCTGTGTATCCCTCAAAAACTTGTATTAAAATAAAAGAAACCAAATTTCTTTGTAACTAGAGATGTGACCTGATGAACCAGGAAAAAATATATATTTTCTGGGGAAATAAATTATAGTCATGGAAGCTTAAGGCTGTTTCAAATTAATTTTTTTAATTTATGTCACCAGCAGGCCATGTAAGTTTCACAAACACTTATAAAGGTGTCTTGAAAATGTGTATATCTGACAACAGCAGACAATATAAGTTTTGTAAAGACATAAAGATGTCTTGAAAATGTATATATGTATGTTGACAAATGGCATAAGTGTTAAAGTTGAGGTCAATTTCTGTTTGCAAGAATGTTTTTGTGGTTCAGCAATGACTAGGTTTCAAGTGTACCAGATTAAAAGCGAGATGATCTTTAGTAAAAATGTGAAAGCCATGTGGATTGTTGCCTTTTTAGGTCAGTTTCATAGTGGAATATTCTGATACTTTCTGCTATACTTATCCTTTTAAGAGTCTGCTCAGGTAAAGAAAAGAGTATTGTTGACATATCTGGGATGAAGTTGCTCAATGCTCACTTTCCAGCCTTGAGTTCAAAAATTGTTTATTCAGTCATGATGGGAAAGAATTATTCTCCACCCTTCAGCCTCTTCCCCCCACAGATGCAACATGACAAGGCTGTTACTAACTTATTGCAAATTACATAGCAAATGTTCAAATGGTGTCCATTCTTTTGTTCCACCAGTTCAGACCTTTACTGCCAGGACATGTCATGCCACTTCCATTGAGTTGAATCAACCTCATTTCCACCATATTCCAAATGTTAGCAGGAAGTTCCACTCTGATAGCTTTTTTCTCCCCAAGAACTGTTGCTTTGTAGACTTGTACTTTTCTGAACATTTTAATCGTAACCTCTTCAAGTCAGTTGTTATCTATCCTCCATATTCTCATAATCCAAACCTGCTTCCACCTTCTCTTTCACTCATACCACACATTTACCTCATCATTATCAACTCTCTATATTGAGTGGATCTTGGGCTTTGTAGCAGGTGATATTTAGTAAAATAAAAAAATACTTTTGCTTTACTTTTCAGATGCCTTGAAGAGGCTCTCAAGATTGAAACTGAACTGGACATACCAAACAATCGATTGACCTTGTCTACACTCAGCAGCTTAGGAATTGTCAATGTTTTTATTGGTAAATACTTTTCTTTTTCAAAATGACAATACAAAGTCAATACAAAATTATTGAAGAAATAAATTCTTATTTCGACTTACACTAAGAACAAAATAAACATTACAACACTTTATTTCCCCTCTTGAGTTTATTACATTTACTTACCCCTAAATACCGCTAGGAAAGGTATGGATCCATCTCTTCTTCCTCCAGCTATGGGTTAAATAGAAGAATTTGTATCTAGAAAAATCATTGTTATTCTAAAAAAAAAAAAAAATTTTAATGCTATATTCAGTACCAAAGAATTATTCTTGCAATCCCAAATATGTTTCAGCTTTAAATAACCTGGAAAGGGTTGATAAACCATAAAGAAAAACAAATCAATCAACATACTTCCTCTTTTATATTTAATAGTTATTTGTGTTATGTCAGTGTGAGTATTTATGTCAATGTCAAGATAGAAAAGCTGTATGGTGACACATTTTGTTCAGAAGGAATGTCTTCAGATAAGTAATGCGTTTATTGATGAAGTTGATCCTATGTATAAAGAAAGAATAATATAATAAATGCCAGCTTCTGTTTACATGAAAATGTTAAAAGATACAAATTAATTTAGATGCATCAAATGTCAAAATTTAAATTGAAATGTGGGTGTCCCTGTATCAACAAGCCTCTTCTTCTTCTATATGCCATGTTCCATCAGGACATTGGTGATCATGGCTCACCACAATTTCCCATCCTTTGTAGCTCTTAATAAATTTTATCTTTTTGTTGTCTCTCCTAAACCCTGTTCTACCATCAAATTTTCCAAGCCCTCTTTCCTCATTATATGCCCTAGAAATGTCAACAGACTCTTCCTGATCTTAATTATAAGTGTCCTTTTGGTTTCCATTCTCTCTAAAACTTGCTAGGTAGATTAAGCATTGTTTCCCTCTATTCCTCTTTACCTTCAATCTGTCCTGTGAGTATCAGATTTTCCAAGCCCTCTTTCCTTATTGTGTGCCCTAGAAATGTCAATGGTCTCTTCCTGATGTTAAGTATAAGTGTCCTTTTTATTTCCATTTTCACTAAAACTTTGTCGGCGCTCACATGTTCAGTCCATGGAATTGTCAACATTCTTCTGTAGAACCAATTTTCTCTCATTTCAAGTCTCTTCTTCATCTTTGAGGAGATTGTCGAGCATTCACTGCCATATAGGAAGACATTATGTCACTGTTCCATACTCTTTTCTTTGTTTCTAACAAAATTTTCTTGTTTCTTAATATTTTGCTAAGCTTTTGTAAGGCATTTTTTACTATCCCAATGCACCTTTAGATTTCAGTGTTGCACTTTCTGTCCTCTGTTAAAACATTTCCCAGATATTTAAATTGTAATACTTGCTTGATTTTGGTATCTCTAATTTGTAATTTGCATGTTGGGCTGTTACTTTTGAAAACAAACATGCATTCTATATTCTTGCAATTGATGTGCATCTGTTCTCAACACAGTGTCATCTGATAATGAATCCTGGTAAAAATTCTAATTCTCTCAGAATCACCTCACTTTATAGATTGAATAAGTCCAGTGAGAAGACACAACCTTTCTTCACTTACACTTCTAATGGAGGTGAAGTTAGTGCAATGGGTTAAGCAACAAATTCAGTGTGTTTATTGTGGGAGAGGATGCTCACATTTTAAATGATTTTTTTTTATTTATATGCATTTAGACGATTTCATTTAATTTCTTTTTGTCTATATTTTTATCACTTTTGTTATTAAATATCACACATTGTGATAATAGAAAGAAAGCTGAAATGTTTACATCCAGATTCTTACAACACAAAAAATCTTTTCCTCTTAGTCATAGTATATATATATATATATATATATATATATATATATAATAAACCAGTTTGTCTAATAATTACAAAAGCATGATACACAGTTACAAACTCATATCCATACAACTGAAATAAATAAAATATATATATATGTGACATTTTTATGTTTATACATTCTTTTTATAGATATAAATATATATATATTTAATACATTCAAATATATTAATTTTTTATTATATATTTTACTTTTATATAATATTTAATATATAATTAATTCATCATTATTAATTGTATAGTATATACTTGTGTATCATATGACCTTTGAAGACCTAATTTTGAAGCTAATTTGATTACAGTAAATGGATATATAGTTTGGTCAATGGCATAGCCAGGTCCAGCTAATTTTATACCTTGTATATGTGTCCCCACTTCAAATTAACTTCAAAATTAGGTCTACAAAAGTTGCATGATACACAAGTATATATGGTAATTTTCTGATGTTATTCTATTTACATATTAACAAAGTTTAAATGATTTTCCAAATTGACTTATATATTTGTCATTCTTTTAATAATAAATATATAAGACAATTTGGAAAACTTCTATTTTGATATAATTTTGCTAATGAACCGCAGGTAGAAAAAGAATTTTATTTTCAACAAATCCTACATTAGTCAGTCAAAATGTGATTCATTTCAAGCATATGAATACTTGATTTTTCTTTTAACTGTATCATTAGAAGAATTACATTATAAAAAATGTTCAAAGAAACAAAAAAAAGAAACGACATAAAAACAATCTGTTAGTAACCTGACAACACCTGTTTACTTCCTGGTGTTATAATACAGAATCTCTCATTACTAAATACAGGAGATCAGGCTGTGTAACTGATATACAAGGTCTGATCAAAAACTATCAGGACTGATGCTATAAAAGGAAACTACAATATATATCAATTCAGCTATAAACACGAGTGAGTGAGAACATAACTTGGTGTGTGTGTTTGTGACAGAATTCAAGGTCAGTTTGTGTCAAGTGGCTTCACTCTGCCTACTTTAGTTTCGTTACCATAGCAACATTCTCAATATTTTTTGATCAGACCTTGTGTGTGTATGTAAGTATGTATGTGGTGTGTGTGTGTGTGTATATATATATATATATATATATATATATATATATATATATATATATATATATATATATAGTGCGATGGGTAAATTGTCGCTATTTTATATTTTTCATTTTTGTGCATGCACATTGTTTGCTTTTAATTTTGTCAACTGCATAGTATAGTAGGATCAGTTAGGCACTGTCTGTGAGAAAAAAGAGCACCATGATGCAATTCACTCCACCAGAAATTTAGAATCTGTATGCTGTACTGCTTGGCATTCATGCCAGAAGCTCCAATATGAACATTTCAGTGTTTGGGTATCAATCTGAGAACAGTGCAGAGGATTCGGAAAAGCATGTATAAGTCTAATGGTGATTATGAAGGTGTTTGGCATGATCATCTTCCTACAGGGCCTAAGACTCAAGATGGAGGCTTACATCAAGTGCCTTGAAGAGGTAGTCCTGCCCTGGGTCAAGAGGCTGGAAGACCCTATGTCTGGCACCATGACACATAATCAGGAGATCTCAGTCATGTGTGTCAGACTATTTCTACGACAACATCACCCCTTACATCTGGCCACCTAACCCCTAACTTATTATGTGTGGGGCGCAGTTGAGCGAGAGACCAACAAAACTCCTTGTAACGCCAAAGTTAAACTGATTATGACAGCATTCACCAACTTAAACATGGAGACCATTCAGAAGAGTTGCAGGAGATTCTAAAGTCGTCTGGAAGTGATTTTATTGAATAGATTTATTCTTTAGTATTTCAAGATATTTTTGTGTAATTTTGGTAAATATAGTGATTTTTCCAAGCGTAGCTTAGATGTGGCACAAGGCCAAAAGTATGGGGCACCCAGTGAAGATCGACCTCACTACTCAGTTGCAATTGTTCATAGCGAGACAAGCTTGCTAACCATTACACCGCCTTGAGGTGCCCAAATAATGATTTTCCAAGTGTAGCTTAGATGTGGTACAAGGCTGAAAGTAGGGGGCACCCAGTGAGGATCAAAGTCTCTACTCGGTCGTAATTATTCTAGCGAGACAAGCTCGCTAACCATTACACCACCTCGAGGTGCCCAATTTTGTTAAATATATATGTTAAAATGAGATGTCAGTGTTATTTTCATTTTTTGCGTAATTTAGATGACAATTTATCCATTGCACCCTGTAGAATCACATCGTTTTATAAAATAGATAAATTCTTATTACTATAAATTTAAGAGAAGAGAGAACATTTGAAATTGTAATTCTAATGTATTTTATGATGTACTGAACCTTTTCTTTTTCTTTCCACAGGTAATTTTGAAGATGGTAAAAAGTATCATTTAGAGTCATTGAAGAGACGACTCGCTTTATTGCAGACAGAGAAACACCCTCACATTGGGGCATGTTATAACAATCTGGGTCTTCTCTATGAAAATATGGGTGAATATGACAAGGCCCTTGAATACTACGAGAAGGGGCTACAGGTAAAGCTTGACACCAAAGCTCCACTTGCTTCCCGTCTCATTTCAGTATGCAATGTGGCCATGCAGTACATGCTACAGGGAAACCTTGAAAAGGCCTACAAACTGATTATTGATGCGGAAAATGAACTTAAGGGCCATTTGCATACAAGCACCTTTATTGAATCTTTTATTAAAGACTGTTTGGCACAAGTGCTTATTAAACAAGGAAAATATCGTGAAGCCCTCGGAGTTATACATTCGGCCATCTTAATACGCAGACTTGCAACTCCGAACAACCTCACACTCACAGAAAGTCTCTATCACCGTGCAAATGCCTACAGGGGACTTAAAAACTATAAAAGTGCAAAGACAGTGTTGAATCGGGCTTTGGAAATGAGTGAACAAAGTATTAAGCAAATGCCAAGAACGATGATCATGTTAAGGTGTTATGAACTGATGCTTGATATTCATATTGATGAATGCGATCCTGATAGAGCAGCTGGATTTTATGTGAAATCCAAGCAGGAGCTAATCCGTATTCTGGGACTTTACCAGAAATATGGATGTCCAAAGAAAGAAAAACAGCTGAAAGACCAGCTGGAAAACCTCGAACAAAAATGGAACGATTTTTTGAATTCATCGCCTGGAAATGGTGCAATTGGACAAGATGACGACGAAGACTTGATTGCAAAAGCAAAACAAGAGGCCAAACAAAAACTTCTAGAGGAAGACTCTCAGATGCAGGTTTGTGATGCACAGCCTCAGCGCCGACCAGAGCTGTGGGTCAACACGCAACGAAGAGTCTCAGCAGGGCAAAGCCAGTCTACTTCCACCCCACAGTCTTCTGCGTCTCCTGTTTTTAAATTATCCTATGTTGGAACCCCTCAAGATGATGTCAGAAGACATTTCCCTCAGCATCGACCTCCTTTGGCTTTATCTACATCAACAGATAATGAAACAGTCTTAGAAGAGAAGGCATTTCCAGATTCTAAGCACAAAGATGAAACTAGCCAAAATGCAAACTCAACCACACCATCTTTATCATCAGCTAATCAAACTAATGATTTATCTGGAAACACTGCAAATACTGAAGAGGCAACATCTTTAAACTGTGATAAAAATAATTTCCAAAATAACGCAAACTTATCATCAATGGAAATTGCAAATTTAAACCAGAATTTTTCTACAAAAGATTACAGAACTTCCAAAGATTTTGAATTGTCGAAATTTGGAATAAGTCATAGAAAAAACTCACAAGATTCAGAATCTAAAGATTTTAACAAAATAAATAACATTACCGAAACAACAGATTCTGGCAAATTTACCTCAACGCTCAGCATTGAGGAAAATGATGCCTATATTTGTAGTCTGTCTCCAAACTTGAATAATAATTTGGCTTCTATGATTCCTGGAGGTGACAATAGCAAAAAAGACACAGATCCCAATGAGACAATCCCCAAAACATTAGTAAGTATTGATCAAAATTCACCTAACAAAAATTTGGAAACTCGGGCAAAAGAAAAGAGTTTGGAAGAAAACTCTAAAATTGATAGTAAAAGTGAATTGTCAGATGATCCTAATTCGGCATTGTATTGGAATTCAGAATTCAAAGAACTTCTGGGTGGTGTAAATCCAGTAGATGAAGATGAGAGTGAAAAACCTGGAAGGTGTGATCAAAGGAATGGTATTTTTTCTTCGCTCACCTCGACAGTCAGTAAATTTTTCAGCATGCCAGTCTCTGTGGTGAATTCATCTCGTCGTCAAACTGGAGAGAAAGAGGACAACAATGATGGCAATACAAACTCTACTTTCTCCCCTTTCTCAATTTAGAAACCAGTTGAATGTCACAAGAGACAAAACATTTCAGAAACACAATGAGAATGAAATTGACCTACAAACTAATTATGTATAAAAAAGCCCAATTGTAAAAAGTATTAAATTCTTGATGATATTATCTTTAAAAGAATTTTGAAGAAATTGTTGCCACTGCTTACTTTTTTTTTTTTTTTTTTGGTCATATTTGCTTTCTTTTTATTTTATTAAATAGAGATTTGTTTATATTTCACGGTTGTGCACTATAAAGAACTTAGTTTTAGAGAATCGTTAGCAAGGGCAACCTGCATTACAAGAGGAGGGTAGGGATTACAGAATGTAATTGACTTTCACATTAACTCTATACTTCTGTAAAAATCTTAATTGTTAAAGAATTAAATTCTTGGTTGTCTTAAAAAATATTTTAAGAAATTGCTATTTTTTTTAGGGTTTCATCATATTTACTTTCATATTTAAGAGAATCGCTTACAGACATATCATGTTAAAACACTAGTTCCCATACGATCACCAAAGTTAAGCAACATCAAGCCTGGTCAGTACCTAGATGGGTAACCACTTGGGAATACAAGGTGCTGCAAGCTTGAATGTGCAGGTGGTGTAACGGATAATGGCTTGAAATCGTTATATTCACTTACTTGCAAATATCCTTGGAAAGTTATGATTCTATCTCTTCTCCCACTAGCTATGGGTTAATTATTAAAATTTTTATCACTAAATCATTATTTCCCCAAAAAAAGAAAAAAAAATTCTTACAAGCTAAAGTTATTTTCTGGCTTTAAATAACCTGCAATGAGTTGATAATCTGTAGAAAACAAATCAATTATGAAATACTGATTAGCTACACAAGAATGTCTTTTAAATTTATTTATACTCTCTGGAATATAAATGTATAGAAACTACTGTGGCCACAAAGTGAGGGATCAGTTTATGTAGTGGTAATAATACAGAATTGATTCCCCACTTAATTTCTTGTTTTTTATCAAATTTTGGTTAGGTATAAATCCACCCCTCCTCCTCCAGTTATCGGTTAATTAGTAAGACTTGTACCACATTATCTCAAAAAAAAAAAAAAAAAAAAAAAAAAAAAAAAAAAAAAAAAAAAGGAAAGAATTCTTACAATCTAAAAATATTTTCTGGCTTTAAATAACCTGCAAAGGGTTGATAAGCCATAGAAAACAAATCAATCAATAATACAGAACCACATATATTTCTTGATTGCATGTAGTTTAGGACTCAGTTTAAGAGAATCATTAGCAGGGATATTCAGTGTTGCTCTGTGGTAAAAATATATAACAATACAGGAAAAAATATCTTTTAACATATTTCTTCTTACACAGCATAAATTAAAAAAGGATTATTTTTACACTATTTGGGACTTGTGACACTGGCAATTTGAAGCACCACTTGTAATTTATTATAGGAATCATAATTAACATCCTCCTGTCTAACAAAGCAACAAAGTTGAAATCAGACATATATAACCCTTTGCAAACTAAGATTCATTTTTTTATCACATACAATTACCATACCAGGTCCACACTATTTCTTTTATAGCACACCAAATTTGACATAAATTGCATTGTAGACAATAAAAGTCTTATAAAGGCAGTGTATTCTTTGAAAAGTGTAGAAGATAAAAGTTTCAAATGGAAGTGGAAGTTCACCCAATAAATCTTGAAATGTAGTTTTCACCATCAATGCTTTTTACAGCGATCAAAAAAAAAAAAAAAAGGTATAAAAAAAAAAAAAGTCGGTAGGATTGAACAGAACAACTAAGTTCCAAAACTTTTCCAGTCTTAGTTTTGCTGTATGCGGCTTTGCATTGACATGGGAGAGAACAACATTTTTCCTACTGATGAGCACAGGGTGCTTATCAGTTAAACATCTATGAACATGTTGCCACTGCTAGATGCATAAATGTGCATTTAGTTTTTCATTGTATCTAAGAAATCTAAACAAATAATAGCTCAACAACTCCATCACATGCACAACATTTGGTATTGGCTGTGGAGATTTATCCTTGACAGTACACTGAACATTGTTGTATGTAATCCACTTTTCATTGCCCGTTTTAATATATTTAAGGAACAGTTAATGAGGATAATACATTCGTCATTACAATTGATTTCCCAAGACAAATTACTTACAGCATAACCTAATAATTATATTTTATTATCAGTATTGATGTCTGATATAAGGATTTTCTGATCCTGGTTTTTTTTTTTTTAATTTTTTTTATCTTGCTGTAATTTGTTTTATTGTTAAATTTGTTTTTCTTTTCCAACTGTTTATATTGACTATATTTTAGTCATCTATGGATTGTATGCATATATTTCTGTTTGTTTGTAAAATATTTAAAAAAAATAAATGAAAAAATAAAAGTCGACAATTAAAACACTCAAGAATTAAGAAGCGAATTTAAATAAAGCAATAACTGAACTAAAAAAAAAAAGTTTAAGTCTTCAGTATACAGGTTGAAGATCTGGGATTTTCAATGCTTGCCAAAACAGTGAAATGTCAATATTTTTAAACAAGTTTTCATTCCTGAAAGTTTGCAGTGCGACACTAACATTTCCAAAATAAAACAACGGATAAGGCCAAATCATGTTGAAACACTAGTTCTGTATGATCACTGAAATGAAGCAACATTGAGCCTGGTCAGTATCTATATGGGTGACTGTTTGGGAATACCAGTTGTTGCAAGCTTGGATTGTGGGTGGTGTAATGGATAATGGCCTGGAATTTTTAATTTGAGAGCCAAGTTCCAATTCTTGTTGGGCTCAAATGCTCATGCAGAAATACCCTTGGGAAAGGTATGAATCCACTTCTCACCACTTCAGAAACTAATGTAGTCACAAAGTGAGGGATCAGTTTATATATTAATTGTAATATATAATTGCTCCCCCACTTTATATAAACATTATAGTTTGTTTATCAAATTTTGATTAGGTTGACTGAAATCTTTGTTAGCGGAGAACATTGCGCCTTCTCAGGCTGACGTTCTCAGCTAACATGAAGTGGAAGACTATATTGAATCAATTGCTAGATCAGCTGTAACAAAATGTTGGTTCATTGTGATGTGTGAGACAATATTTGTCTCTCGAATCTATCTTACATTTCTATAAATCTACGATTCATCCATGCTTCGAATATTGCTTCTATATATTACCTTGAGCTGTTTGATAAAATCCAAAGAAAAATCAGCAATATTATCAGTCCTGATCTGGTGGCTCGGCTTCAGTCACTTTCCCATTGCAGTAAGGTTGCCTCCCTGTGTCTTTTCTATAAATAATTGTTCGAATGAGCTCTTCACTATGGTACCTAAACTTTTGAGTTTTAAGTGCAGTACTAGACTGGTGTTTAGATCACATCAATTTACAGTTGAGATGGCTAGATCTAGTTGTAAGTTCTATTTAGTTTCTTTTCTTGTACTTCTTGCTTGTGGAACTCCCTTCTATCTCTATACTTTCCAGTTACCTTTAATCTGCAAAAATTTAAATACAATGTCAATCATTTTCTACTGTCCTCTTGACTACTTGTTGCTCATTATTAATATTTCTGTTCCTAATTCTTCCACACCCTGTAACCACTTTTGGTTTTACTGCCTTGCATCTGGTGATACCAATTTAAAAAAAAGAAAAAAAAAAGTATAAATCCACCTCTTCTCCCCCAATTATGGATTAATTAGTAAGACTTGTATTGCTAAACCATTACTACCTAAAAAACAAAAGAAAAATTCTTCAAATCTAAAAATACTTTTCAGCTTTAAATAACCAGCAAAGGGTTGATAAGCTGTAAAAAAAAATCAATCAGTCCAAAATAAAACAGAATTTAAATTAAGCAATTAATAGAATTAGTAGAAATAATTACAGATCAATTATCAAAATTTATAAAAATGTCTTTTCAACTGTATATTTGTAAATATACACTGGAGACTCTCGGTTTTTCACTGACTAGACAAATCATCCCACGTATGTTTCAATTCCTGTCAGCATAAAAAGTGTGGAAAGGCCTCGTGTATATTCACAGGAGAATGAGAGGTGAGATAATTCCACAGCAACAAATGAAAACAAATCCTGTTTCCAATATATTTAGTTATTTTTTTTCATAGTACTATGATACATTGTATCATCTGGGAGTTAGGTAGGTAACACTTTTGTTATCTTCTTTTTTGCAACAGACTAATAGACCAGATCTTCCATTTCGCCGGTGAGAACTCAAACATTCACCATACCTCTGCAACATGTGGCTCACAATTTGATAATGGCTGGTTTGAAAACTGACCTTATATAAGTCTACAAACCATAACTTCTTAACTTCTGGCCAAGGAGCACAGGTCAGCAGATAGGTCAAAGATTAGTATGGGAAATTTAGCATCTTTTTATGTCAAAAAAACACTTTGTTTTGAAAATTCTTGCAAAAAATCAAATAAGTGTTAGATTTAATGAAATTCTCAGAACTTATTCACAAACTAGCAGTACAACCCATCTTTGACTGGATCTTTCATTACTGGGAATTTTTGCTGTTCAACTGGAAAAGTCAGCCCACCTGAAAAATCAATATTAGTAACAACATTTGGGTGCAACTGAGGCACATCTCCAAATCGGAGGTTAACAATTTGAATTGTTGGGGGTGGCCCTAAAAAGGGAACTGTATAATAATAAATAATATTATTGTAATAATTTAAACTATTTATTTTTATTAAAGTTTTTATGAAAGATATATCCAATAACAGATAGAACATAGTAAAAAGTTGCTGACAGTTATAATGGACAGGAAGTAGTGGAGAGCCATTGTCGCCAACAATTTGAACTCAAAACCAACACTAAAGAATTATCTATCAAAGAAAAAAAATTTAATTGAAATCAGATGGAAATACATAAACAACATCTGGTCATACACACACACATTTTGAGAATTATAGATATAGATGAATGAAATTATATTGGAAATCTTTTAGAAAATCTTGGCAAAAATATTTTTTTTATTTAACATCTGTTACCCCCACTTACTAAATTGTATGAAAATTCAAGAAATTAAAATTCCACCCTCTTCATGTTTATATTAGTTAAAATCAGGACACCTTAGAGAACTTAAATCATCAATTTGTTTTTGTCAAACGCCAGTTATCAAAAATCTGCTTTGATTTCTAAAATAAAAATGGCAATAAAACTATGGCATTATTTAATTAGAAAAGCTTTTGATTCTATAAATAAAATATAAAGACACTATTGTCATGAGAAAAAAAAAATTTTGATGAATAATTAATTTTTACAAGAATTGTTCATATTTTTTAATTAGAATATTTGATTGTTTTAAATCTTAAAATTCTGTATTAATATTATCTAAAAGGGTGAAATTAAGTAAAAACTATATTTACTAATCATAAATAGAAAAGCTTAGTACAAATCATCAAACACCAATAATTTTAAAAGAATTTGGAATTATTTTGTATGTGTATAAATGTGCCAATTTTTGTACACAGTGGCACATACACAACATCATCAGAAAATAAAAGTGATATCTAGTAAATTTAAAGCCAGGAAGTATCTAAAATTCAATAAAACATTAGATTATGGAGAATATTTTTTTTTAATTTTTAAATAAAAGGTGCCCACACTATATTCAATTATTTTTTACAACTAGCACTTCCATAGAACATCAATCTGTCAAACATGTCAACAACTTAAATAAACAACTACCATTATTTTAAATAATGCATATCTGCAATATTTTAAATTTAAAGTAAATAATATGTTTCAAATACTATTAATTATATTTTGTAATATGTTATAATTTATATTCCTCAAATATTGTTTCATAAAAGCAAATTTTATTTTTGGAAGATTTTTTTAATAAAGAGAATTGCAATGAAAGACAAGTAAAAAGGGAGCACTAATTAGCTATTAGTTTTGAAATACAGTAAAGTATTTTGCTTATTGCAAATATTAAATTTAATCTATTAGCTTGAAATGAAAACTAAAATAAAAGTTTCAAGAAAGATTTTTCATTTTTTAAAATTCATTTTAAACCCTAGGTATCACGTTTTCTGTGGTGGTACCTAGATTTAATTCATTTCTTTTCAATTTCGATATCCTACCTCAAGGTCAAATATTTAAATTAAGGCAGTTGTTAATTACACATACCTACTTAGAAGTCAAGCACAGACAGGTAAGTTTAGATTGGTTGGTTTTTACTATATGTCAACACCTGTTGGGCTATTTAATGTTGAAATCAGACATTGTTTTGTTTTGTTAATTATATTTGAATCTATAAGCATCAACTTCAGCATAACAGAAGTTAGAGAGAAAGAAAGAAGCAATAAAGAAAAAGTCACTTATTAATACTAGTTCCATATTAAATATGACATAACTAAGCAACTAATCTAACATTAACCTTTTCTTTGCCATTAATGAGATAACCGACCTTAGCAAGTTGTCAGTTTTCTGCCTTACTGAAGACAAATTATCTTAGAATGCATTGTGTGATTTGTTAGCAGATGACTGTTGCTCCTTATGCAAAACAAAGGAAATTTGCATATTTTGGAGTTATGACAAGTGAACATCAGCACAGACTTGTGTCTTGGCTTAAGATATTTCATACGCATTTAAATTATTCAAATGTTTAACACATTTATGAAGATGAGCTGTACTTGCAAAAATTTCAGTTTTCTTATCCTATTATAATTGCGCTTGTTCTAGCCTTTGTTAGTTTGCGCAACTGTTACACTCTGCCAATGCTCCATAAATAATAGACTGTTCTGGTTTCAGTGAGAAAATGAAAGAAGGTGTGTGAGAGAGAGAGAGAGAGAGAATCAAATTAAGCTAAGAACAGATATTACACTTTGATCTTAGCCAAAAAGCAGAGAAGCAATTTTATGTTCTTGTCACCCCACATTGGCCGAGCTTCATCTCTTTTCAATTTCAATATCTTACCATTGAACCTCTGCCATTTCTTATACCATCGAGCACTTTTCAGGCAGTAAGCAGCTTTTGAGCAGACTCTTTTTAGAGCTGCTCAACCTTTTCTAATATTCTAAATGCTCTGATGTGACTTTAGTTGCCTGCTTCAGTAGAATACTTTTGGGGTTTGAAGCTTTAGCCCCTTTACCGTGATTTATATATATATATATATATATATATATATATATGCACACACATATACATAGACACACAGAAATACATACACACACAATATATATATATATATATATATATATATATATATATTTATTTATTTACTATTTTAAAATGATGGTGTCATCGCTACACAGGAATTACCATGTTTCATAAAAGAAACTAAAATTTTAAAATTTAATTATAAAATTAAATTTAAAATTCATAGCTCCATTCCATTAGAAAATAATGTATAGTCTATTAGTTATTAGAAGTAGAAAAGTACTTTAAATATGTAGGAATAAATTTTTAAATATTAAAAATACAACTTACTCATATTCAGATGACTCTTTTAAGAAATCTTTGTGTATAAAATTATAAATTAAGAGGCTAAGTAAAAATGCCAAATAGTTTTTATCATTGAAAAACCCAGACAACATACAAAAAAACGGGTATCATTGTGAGCAGGCACCTCTACCTCCACCTTAACTTAACCTGATTTTGAAAGTAACTTATATTTTATACATAAGTTGTCTAGTGAAATTAACACCCAACTACCCCTTATCAAAATGATTGAATTTTTCCGTAACCTTAACAGTTTAAAATATTAAGATTATCTGTGTTTATAAATGAAGTAAATTTCTTAATAGGTTATTCCAAAAATTGCTTGAGAATGGAATGGAGCTATTGATTTTAAATTTAATTTTATAATTAAATTTAAAATTTTAGTTTCTGTTTTGAAACATGGTAATTCCTGTGTAGCGATGGGACCATATTTTATAATTATAATATTATGGTCTACAGTTTATGTATCGAGGATAGTTTTTTATTTTTAAAATAAAAATAATTACTACGAACACTGGATTGCAAATCATACTGTTCTTTCTTATTATTTTAATATATATAATTTGGATTGATGTTAGCTCTATCACTGATATTGAGCACTTTCCAATAAGTATTGCACATATATATGTAAATATATATATAAAAAACTACACACACTATATATATATATATATATATATATATATGTTGGGGTGGAGTAGGATTATAACAACCAGTTCTCAATGGAAACTGGACATCTTTTCTTTTCTTTTTTTTTTATTTTCACCCTAAGCTACCAAAACACAAGTGATTACTGAGAATGAGGGGAAACTGAGAAAACATTAGAGAACTGGCACTAAAAAGGTGAGGATTCAAAACAAAAGATAAAGATTGATGTCACATTTACATTTTTTTGAAGATCAAATTTGCCAGGAAAGCAAGAAGCTAGAAAAGAGTTCCATAGGTGAGAACTGTGAGACAAGAAAGTATCTGATTAGAACTTACAGTACAGTTAGCAATTTCAGCACTAAAATGATAAGACCTTGCTGCCAAGCTAATACTATGCTTAAATTTGTAAAGTCAAAGTACCAAAGAGGAAAACTCATCAGAATAATTACTATCAAACTATTTATAGAAGAGGCAAAGGGCATTTATGTTATGGTGGTGGGAAAGTGATTGAAGCCAAGCAACTATGTTACACTTACAAGGTTGACCAGACTTACCAAGTTTTCATTCCTGAAATCAGTCAACTGCCAACCATTTATAGACTGGATGTCAACCAAACAGAAGTGGCAGGAGGTTTCATCAGAGTTGCAATGAAAGAAACCTTCATTTAACCATCCCACTGTTTCCAAAAAACTGCCATTGTATTTGTTTTTTTTTGTTTTTTTGTTTAAATCAGACACAAATAGTGAAATAAAACACAATAAGAAGAATTACAATTTGTTCTTTTTAAATCTGTTTAATTTTTTTTTTTTTTTTCAAGAATAATATAGTCAAAGATATTTGCCTCATCTATGGATCTTTAATTTCTGGAATGTAGCAGAAGATTTCAATGGAAATCGAAAGAGCTTATTGCCAGTCCGACATTGGATTTCATCCACAGGAATAATCAAATGGTTCATATGTTCACTTAGGAAATTAGTGACTTGATGCTGAAAAATAGAATAAAAATTTAAATAAGAAAAACAAAAACATTAAAGAATTATATAATTTTATTTATTCTAGGATGTGTTGTTCTTGTTTTTTTTTACAATTATATTCACCCTGTAAAAGGCCTAAGAGCCATTCATGGTATAGGGTTACAGAGTAAGCAGAACAGTTTATGAGGATTAGAGAAGCATTCCCTTGGGTGTTGGTTCTACAAAATGGTGGTTCGTAGTAAGAAACTGCTCGAGTGGAACTTACATCTCACCAATGGAATACGAAGGGAATGAGAATGGTTTACTACAATGTGTGTGGCATACCAGTTCCTAGCCGTGAAGGTTAGAAATGGTGGAACTAAGGAATGTAATTCCTCTAAACACTTTCCATGGAAATAGCGATAGAGCAACAAGAGGCTTGTGACATTTCATCTGTGAGAAAGAAGTTGTAGGGTAGAAACTAATTCATTACCCACAAGGACATGGAGATGCTTTTGGATTCTATTGAGACCAGAAAGTGAAGGCTGCCCATATATGGCAGCAGTACTCCATTTCCAGCCTGATCTGGCCTTTGTAAAGGTTATGTGATAGTGGGTGGGAATGAGAAATTTGAGAGCTGAGTTTGAATTCCAGTCGAGTTCATTGCATTTCACTTATGCACAAATACCCTTTGGAAAGGTATGAAACTATTTCTTCTCCTGCAGATATGGGTTAAATAGCAGGACAGAGTTGGCAACCATTCTAGAGATGGTGACTTGATAAAATAAGCCCAGGCCACTGGTGGGGATACCATTGGTTCATGAAGATGCACACTGACTGAAATTCTTCAGTTGTGTGAGTTGTGCATTCTGCCATAGGGGGAGAAGGTGTTTACTTTTTTTTTTTTTTTTTTCTTTCTGTCAGTAACCGTTCCATTAATTCCTACCCGATGACTCTTCCTTTCTTCTACAATTGCAATGAATGTCTATGGTAGTTGGATTCAACAAGAGATCTACTCACTCACACTGCAATTACTGATTTGAGCAGACCTTGATCCTAATCAAATCATCTCCCCCTTCATTTGTCTTCTATATGACGTAACCCTTCATGATGTGGGCGATCATGACTCTCCAGTTTCCTATCCTTTGTCGTTCTAAGAAATGTTTGTCTCCTTACTATCCTTCCCAGTCCCTGTTCTGCCATCCATTTATACAAGCTCGTTAGGTAGGTTACTCGTTGTTCTCCCACTGCCTCTCTTACCTTCAGTATGTCCTGTGAGTGTCAAGTTCTTCAAGCCTACTTTCCTCATTATATATCCAAGAAATTTTAACTGTTTCTCTGATGCTTAGTATTCTAAATGTCTCTTATTTCTATTTGCCTTAAAACTTCCTTTTTGCTCATATTATTAAATTGGAACAAATTAGCTGTTGTACAAGGTTTTTACATTTCATACATAATTAAACAATTGATAATTTTTCAACAGTGTCATTTCTTTTGTGGGCCTATGGCCACATCATGCTGAAACACCAGTTCCCGTGCAATCACTGAAGTTAAGCAATGTCAAACCTAGTCAGTACCTAGATGGGTGACTATTCCCAACATCCTTCTATAGAACCACACCTCTGTTGCCTCAAATCTCCTTTTCACTGCCATATAGCAAGAGTGCTATTGCATATTCTTTACTGATAATGATATTTTTCTGTTTCTTATTACTTTGTTTAGTTTTTGAAAGGCATTTTTTTTTGCTATTCCAATGCACCTTTGAATTTGTGCCATATTTTCCTTCTTCTGTTAAAACACTTCCCAAATATTTTAAATTTTGTACTTGTTTGATTTTGTATTACTAAAAGGCTAAGTGATTTATTTTTCTTCCTCATTTTTGCTGGGGTTATAATTCATTCAAAGTCTCATGGATGACAATCTGTTTACTTATCAAATAATAACCAAGATCACACTTTATTGTTAAACCTTGTTGGTAATGTTTAATCTTCATACCCATAAAAAAAAAAAAACACTTATGTCAAAAGGTGTGTTATTCTATTGACACTATTATAACTGTATACACTTAACTCCATTGGCAATATTTGTTTACAAGATTATAAAAATATTTAAAGCAAGTACAATGCAATATTTATTACTTACATTTTATAAAGAAATAAATTTGAAAAGAAATCTTTGTATTAAAAATTTACAAAATATTAAATTATCAAATATGTAAACAAACTACAAAGCAATATTTATTATTTAGCATTTTATGAATAACCATGAAAACAAGTTTTTATTCAATCTAATAATAGTCTATAATATCTTTGTTGTCAATTTTCAAGAAGAACAAGAATAAAGAAAATGTATAAATCCACTTTTATATTTTATTAAAATTCTAATTGTCATTTTTTAAAAAAAAATAACAAACATTGCCAACAAAGACAAAAGTGCATCTGGTAATAGTGATGTCAAGAGAGTAACTGTCCAATTTTTTGCAAGCACAAAAGTTAAACATTGCCACTTTGTTTATCTTTCCTTTTTTGTTCCCTACTGAAAAATGGCTTCCTTAATGGGGTATTAATGGCTTCATTGTCTCACTTGATATATCTCAGTTCTATAATAATTTGGCCTGTCTCATTCCTATAACAATTTGGCTTTTCCCATGTCTATAATCAGAATTATTTTAAATTGATAAAAATTAAATTTTAATTTCAAATAATTAATTTCAAATTAAAGTATGAATTATCAACACTAAAACTGAAAATGAACCAAGGAATTTTTTTTTTTTTTCATCGAATGTACTAAGTCTTGTGATGGTAGTTAAGGAATACGAACCTGTATGTCTGATAATATCGAAGGAGGCACATCAGGGATAATGTTTCCAAGGCTCCAACCAATACTGATATGAAAGGATGGATTCTGCAAAGAGAAAAAAATAAGTACAGAAAAGTAGATATTTGTAACAGGGCAGTGGCCTTGGTTGAATCATCCTAGTGTATGGAAATTGGTCAGTGACTTGGGTTATTGAGAGACTTGATAATTCTGAGTAAAGGAATAGAGAAGAAAAATATGGAAGAATGGTTAATCGGATTGGAATCCAGTTTAAAAATTTTCATTTAAACCCAGAAAATACTGATAAGAAAGGCCTTGGAAGATTTTGAACTAAAAATAAACTTAGTAAGATTTAGTAAGATTCAGTATAACTAATACTCCAGGCTAACTCCATAACACAGAGAGAGCTGACATGACATGACTAATGAGTTTACCAAAAGATCAAATTTTCAGTAGCTCTAGGGTTTGTTTATTTAGAGACTTATTCATTGTATTTGAATCAATTTCAATGTAATTTTGGTAATTTAAAAATCCAAGCCCAAATCAAAAAGCACTTACCATCTGGTTTTTCTAACAGGAGGTTCTTTGTTCGAGAAGCTAATTAATCATGTGCAGTTCAGGTTCAGAAGCATATATAAGCAAAATACACATGCACAGAAATCAGAGGCAGAGAAAGGAAGCAGAGAAGCCAGTTGCCCAGAATTGTTGATGTCAGTATCTTGCAGAGAAGATGCTATCAGAGAGTTCCACCCAGGCCCTTCATCTGCCATAGAAATTAATTACTGCAAAGACTTGAGAATTCACACATCTCTTAGAACATATGTCTGCCGGTGGCTCAAATTTCACAAGAAAGAAATTTGAACAAATTAGCTGTTGTACAAGGTTTTTACATTTCATACATAATTAAACAATTGATAATTTTTCAACAGTGTCATTTCTTTTGTGGGCCTATGGCCACATCATGCTGAAACACCAGTTCCCGTGCAATCAGTGAAGTTAAGCAATGTCAAACCTGGTCAGTACCTAGATGGGTGACTGCTTGGAAATACCAGGTGCCATACACTTGGATGTGTGGGTGGTGTACTGGATAATGGCTCGGAATTGTTAATCGAAGTTCCGATTCCAGTAGAGTTCATTATATTCATTTACACACAAATACACTTGGGAAAAGTATGATTGCACCTCTTCTCCTCCTACCTATGGGTCAATTAGTAAGACTTCTATCACTAAATCATTATCTCAAAAGAAAATTTTTTATAATCTAAAAATATTTTCTGGCTTTAAATAACCTGCAAAAGGTTGATAAACCGTAGAAAATGAATCAATCAAATACTGATTAGCTACACAGGAATGTCTTTTAGATTTATTGACATTCTCTGGAATATAAATGTATAGAAACTACTGTGGCCACAAAGTGAGGGATCAGTTTATATATTAATTGTAATACAGAATTGATCCCGTGCTTTATAACCAATTTATAATTTCTTGATTGCTTATCAAATTCTGATCAGGTATGAATCTATTCCAGTTATCAGTTAATTAGTAAGACTTCTATCACTAAATCATTATTACCTAAAAAAAAAAAAAAAAAAAAAAAAAAAAACTTACATTCTAAAAATATTTTCTGGCTTTAAATAACTTGCAAAAGGTTGATAAGCCATAGAAAATCAATCAATAAAAAAAGCATTTCTTTTGTGGGCATATTACACTTCTTTTAGCAGGATCACCCAACATTAAAGAAGCAGTACATCCAAGCTAACAAAAATCCATGGCTTGTAATTTCCTCACAAGTAATTGCAACAAACTAGACAACACATCCTTGTGAAGGAAAGAATCCACCTGCATCAACATATAACCTACCACCTAGATAAGAGTGTTGCTTTTGGTAACCAGATTCACTTGCCTTTGTTCACCCTCTAGTTCTTCTCCACTGGTTTGGCATCCACTCTGTCACTCTAATAGTCCACCTGTTATCTCCGAGACAAGAGACATGGCCAGCCCATCTATGTTTGCCCTTCTTGATAATCTCAATTATATCCTTCACTCCAGTCTGCTGTCAAATACAGATGTTGCTCTTCCTGTTATGTAAGGTGATGAACCACTTCTTGGGCCACTGCAAGAGTCTCTGTTATGGTGGTGTTGAGAACCAATGTCTCACTTTCAGAAGTCATCCCCAGCAGAACATATTTATCAAACAACTTTCTCTTGGTTTCAATTATTGTCTTGGGACTTTTCATCATGTTATAAATTTTTCCAGAAGTCACCCAACTAAACACAATCCTTTTGATTAAAGAAAAGTTGATAAGAAACAAGTGATGAACAGACACAAATATAAGGGAAATAAGACATATTGGCAATACTTGGAAAATGAAGAGTCTAAGATGTCTATAGGGCTTGAAAAAGAAGTTTTTTATATATATATATATATATATATATATATATATATATATATATATATATATATATATACACACACACATAAATAGGTTATGATGGATAAATTGTCATCTAAATTACAAAAAAATGAAAATAACACTGACATCACATTTTAACATTTATTTACAAAAATTACACAAAAATATCTTGAAATACTAAAAAGTAAATTTATTCAATAAAAATCACCATAGGCTTCAACCACAGTGTCCAGACAACTTCAGAATCTCCTGCAACTCTTCTCTTGTTTAAGTTGGTGAATGCTGCTATAATTCTTGCCTTCAGTTCATCTTTGGTGTGACAAGGAGTTTTGTTAGTCTCTCGCTCAACTGTGCCCCACATACATAACAATCAAGGTGGTTGCAGTCTGGGGAGTTGGGTGGCCAGATGTAAGGGGTGATGTGGTCGTAGAAACTGTTTGATAGACATGACTGAGTTCTCCTGCTTGTGTAGTATAGTACAGAGTCCTGTTGCCAGATATAGGGTCTTCCAACAGCCACCCTCTTGACCCAGGGTAGCATTACCTCCTCAAGGCACTTGATATAGGCCTCACCAACAAATTCAGTCTGAAGCCCTCACCAACAAATTCAGGAGTTCTTTTCTTATCAGAATGACCAAAGTCAGTTTTTCAAGCTGCTGTACCTTTGTAATCATCATTAGACTCATTCAACTCTTTCCAAATCCTCTGCACTGTCTTCAGATTGACAACCAAACACTCTGAAATATTTCTAATGGAGCTTCCGGCATGAATGCCAAAGAGTACAGCATAGTGTTTCCAAATTTCTAGTGGAGTGAATTGCATCATGGTGCTCTTTTTCTCACATACGGTGCCCAACTGACCCTACTATGCTGTGCAGTCAACAAAATCAAACAAACAACATGCATGTAAGAAATTATAAATATAAAATTGCGACAATTTACCCATCGCACTCTGTGTGTGTATATATATATATATATATATATATATATATATATATATATATATATATATATATATATATATATATATATATATGAGTCTTTTGCTGAGTTACTTCTGGATAGACCAAATTACATGGAATCTACTTTACGGAAGTGGATAGGATTGATTTACTGATTTGTTTTTTTATGGCTTATCAACCTGGAAGAGGATAAAAAAAATCAAATAATCTAGAAGAGGAGAAAGAGATAACAGTGGCAGTGTTTCTGAGTAAACTCTGAACAATGGAGAGGGCAGTACTGTTGGTGTTATAAAAGGTAAAACCCTGTCATGCTTTTAACAAAATGTTACTAAACGAGGTGCAAAGAAAAGGTTAGTGGGCTGCTATTTTTAATTCCATGATATGCACAGAGGAAAAGCTAAAAGAAAATCTACATAAAAAAATGAAAAGTTTCATATTCGTACTCACTGTATAGAATGGAGGCAAATTGAATTCTTTGAAGACTTTATCTACTTCATCGATGTAATTGATGAGGATATCAGTGTTAGAGTTTACTTCCAGGATCAAAAATGTCCTGAAAAGGAAAAAATTTAAACATTACATGTTATTTAAATTACTCAATTTATAAAATCATATTGAGTGGGTGTGTATTTATATATATATATTAATAAATATACATCCCCCCACAACCTCACCTGTAGCACAACTCAATGGTCAGATGCTGATAGAAAACTGACTGTTGCATAATACTGGGGTGAAGGTATAAAATTGTTATATAGGAATAAAGTGTCATTGCTGACACTGGAATTTGAACATCAATCACCAGAGAGCAAAATAGGCAATCCCATTTTGAATAAGTAGATCACGTGATGGTAAAAGAAATGTATATATGGGAATTAGCGTGGCATCTAAGGGATCACTATATGGATCATTATTCAGTGGTTACTTTTTGAGGGAGTATTATCGAGCAAGTACTATCAGTGCAAGTGTTATTTGAAGGCGTCTGACACCAGTATTGTTCAACAGCATTACTATAGTTGTATCTGCGATTACAAAGTCTCTACTACAATGAGCATTATGAAAGTGACGAGTATTCATTGACATTAGAAAAGTGGCAATGAGAGTTCGTTGACATCACAAAAAAAATAAGAGTAAAATATAAAATGGAATAAAAAATAATATATACACATACAAAAAACACATACACTTCCATGCCTTCAACTACAAAGATATAATTCTAATTCAAAAAACAAATACACATCTAATAAGTATGTTTAATTATAATAGAAAACATAAATACACATAAATATCATGATATATCCACATATACCAATAGATATATACATCCAGATTTACATGTCAACATGCATGTTATAGTAGTCGTACAAAAATTTAAATACATGCACACAGATAAATAAAAATTCAAACAAATAGTAAATATACAATATATTGAAAAAACACAAAGTAAAAAAGATGCCACAATGTGTTATGTTTTAAACCCTGCTCCACCTTATTGCCATAATGTTAAAACTAAATGTTGGCAGAATCTTTCTCAAGAGATAAACATTTTTAAACATTAAAGAATATATTTAACAAAAATAACAAAGATTATCTAGAGCTACGTCAGAAATATTGAAAAAAAATATATCCTCAATAATAATATATTATTGAATAATTATATAACTTGCAAAAAGAACAACTATAACGAAGCAAGAGTTGATCATAATAAAAAAATGTAACTGCCAAAATAATATGAACTGCCCCTTAAACAGCCAATGTTTAACTAATAATATAGTTTATAGAGCTAACAATCTGAAGAAAATAAATTTTACCTTGTTTCAACTGAAATGCATTGGAAAAACCAATTTATAATCATAAACTAAGTTTAAGTAAAGCTAACTACAAAAATAATACTGCTCTCTCTCTCTCTCTCTCTCTGTGTGACACTATGAGAGATTGAAAGGGTTAAGAGATAGCCTGATAGCTATACCAAAAAATGAAGCAAGATTTTGTTAAATTCAGAAAGTTTATTTTTCTTCCATGAATAAACCCTAAGAGAAGAGTAGGGCTGACTCGAAGATAATTTTGTTATTTTGAGGAACTTAGCTGAAAAAAAGGCCATCTGGATAATTTAAACCCACTAGGGGTGGAGATAGAGATGGTGTAAGAGCATTCAAAGTCAGCTGAGAATTTTGTTCAACAGGGACGAAATGAAGGCATCAGTTTATGACTGCTCGTTAAGGTGCAGGTTATGGAAAGTGTCCTGATAACCACAGACAAAAAAGATAATTGATGGAGAGATAATATCTTTATGGTTTTGAGGAATGAAGGTGAAGTTAAGAGGACTGATTTATTTCACTTGTCAAAAAATGGGTGGAAGGCATAGATCACTAAATGGGATTTCTTTGGATAGGAGTATCATGGGTCAAAACTTGCTAAGAAAGCTGTCATGGGGACACCTGGTGGATGTCCAGCTGAGAGAATGGGGTTTGGGTTGAGGAATTCCATTGACGAAAATATTGAGTGATAATTAAAATTAATGATTTGGAGCTAAGCACCGCCTGTTTGCTTACACAGTCTAAAAATTAAGTTTGTCAAAATGACAACAGAAGTGAAGGGCTGAGGTGAAATATCAAGTGGATGAAGGAATTGCCTACACTCCTTGGGTAGTACTGTTATGAGATACCAATATGAGAAGGAGGGAATTAAGGTGGATTGATATTCTGCTACCACTACTCTTTGGAGGAGGGATCTCTCCAAGGTTGGGTATGCAATTAATTTCCTGGAGTCGAACAAACAAAGGACTATCTATGGAGATTAGGAGAATCCCTGAAATCCCAAACCACATTAATTTCCATGCCAGTTTTGGATGGGGGTTGATATAAGCAGAAAATTGAAGCGACCAACATGACAGTTGTTCCAGATGCCAGATGAGAGACAACCACTTCAACTGATCTCACGTGACTTCCTACCTGAGGAAACTTCCAACTTAAGTTGTTCCAGAAGCCTTGTCTAGACTTGGTTCAGATGAACAAAGTGTCACAAAATATTTGAAGAGGGAAGGGTTGATGAAGAATATATATTCCTGCCTGAAGAACTGATAATTGTACGACCAGCTCTGTACAAGAAATGTTATATAAAACATTTTCTTTTATACAATTTATGTTTTTTTACTTGTGACTTCACTTTGTCCAGACCAAACCAATTCAATGATTCCTGTTGACAATTTGACCCTCGCCAGCCTTGAGATCTAAATCAAACAATGCAGGGCAAGGAAAGGCTTGGATCAAAGTGATCCATTGAACAATCAGCTGCAAGGATCAAACATCGAATAGACCAGCTGGGAAAAAGTCATATCTCTAAATATTACTGGCAAATAAAAGATGGTGGAAGTATACTGAAAATTATGTGTGAAATAATAGGTAGACCTAAATCTTACAATGGTAATGGTGAAACATGCAAGCTTTTTTTTTTTTTTACAAAAACTGATTATTCTAAAACAATTTAAATAACCATAATTTACTAAACAAATTAATGGTCACATGTAGACATAAACACAAATACCTCCTAAAATACATTGAACCATATTGATTTCAATTCAAGTCAGACATCTCCATTATTTATGTGTTTATTTTTCTTTTCTTTAGATTCGGAATTAAAAGTATGATTGTATTATTACCATATTTACAAGTTTGTATGAGTAATTTTTATTTACTTTCATACAGTGATGTTCAATAAAAGTGACTCACCTGATTTTTTTTACTAAAAATTCTCTGATGAAACGAAAGTCGAGCTAAATTCAAAGGATAAGCAATCTAAAATCCGAAGAAGAAGCTTTGAAAGCTCTTTGAATTTAGCAGTAAGTACTGTCAAGCATCCATTCAGTATAATGTTCTGGGATGGAATTGGTTTCTTAAAACCTATTGAAAAGACCCTCAGGAGCGAGCAGTACAAGAGAATTTTAAAGTCTTGTCTGCTCCCTTCTGCTGAAAGGGTGCAAATTGACCCCACCAAGCTCATTTTTATGCAGGATAATGCTCCCTGTCACAAATCAAAATTGCTGAAGGAATACTTTGATGAGAAGCAGGTGAGTGCTATGGCATGGCCGCCCTAATCTCCTGACCATAACCCCATAGAAAACTTATGGAGCAGTATAAAGTACAGGCTCTCGAGAAAGCAGTTGAGCAACAAAGAGGATTTGATTGTGAATTTCATATCCGAATGGAATTCAATGCTTGGAGATGAGATTTGCCAGAACCTAATCAAGTCAATGCCAAAAAAGGTTGAAAAGGTTATTCAAAATAAAGGAGGACTCCTAGATTATTAAATATTTCGAACTATATTACTTATTATAAATAAATTATACCTCTATTATTCTTTATTTAAAGCTGTTCGATAATTGTTTCTATTGATTATTAGTTGCAGGAAATAAGTGAGTCACTTTTTTATGCACAGAATTTTTCCCTAAATCTCATTTATATCCAAAATTATAATTATCAATAGAATACCTTAGGGTGAGTAAACTTTTTTTACTAGGTGGTTGGGAAGGGGTCTTTATATTAGTAAGATTAAAAATTAGTTTGACCCCAAAAACAATAGGCAAAAAAATTTTTAAGTAAAAAAAAAATCAGGTGAGTCACTTTTATTGAACATCACTATACATTGTAACCCGGATATAAGAGAGTTGTTGGGGCCCCGTAGAAGAAGTCTCTTATATCCGGGTTTGGTCTATTTATATACATTAACACAGGCTCTAATTTGGGACCAGAGAAAATCTCTCTTATATCCGGGTTACACTATATATGTTTATTTTCTTTTATTACTACTACTATCATATTAAATGAATATGTTAAATACATATTACTAATATGTATTTTGTACATTTTGTCATTTTTTTTTATATAGGATAGATATATATTTTTATATGCATATCTTTATAATTATAGGAATAATAGGTGTGTGTATATGTGATGTTATGATTCTTATACATATTTACAGGTTAGATATATACTTTGGATACACTGGAAGTTATGCATGCACACACACACTATATATATATATATATATATATATATATATATGCACACACTTTAAAAATCAGGAAATCAGTTGAATCCACGACCTTGGTTTCAACCTTATGGTAACCCTCAGGCAATTTTTATCAAATGACCTCTTTTCATTTCTTGATCCCAAAAAACTTTTGAGTGAGAAAACCAAAGTCTTGAGTCCTTCCATACATATTAAGAAATTCCTCTTAAGCACATATGTGGCTGGATAAAAAAAGAATGTATATTTCAATTAAGCCCCCCACTGATCCCTTTATAATACCCTTGCTTTTCGTCCCTTCCCCCTTCATCTTCTCCTCCTTTCTTCACATCCTCCTCCTCCCTTTCTATTACACACAACATTGTATGTTTATTTATTTTTTAAAAAATAAAGCGTTAACAGGTCATTTGATAAAAATTGCCTAAGGATACCGTAATGCTGAAACCAAGGTAGCAGATCAACTGATTTTTAAAGTTAAAAGCTGTACATGTTATTTTTACTTTTATTTTTTCATGCATGTATTGAGCACTTTTTAATACCACTGTTTCCTAATCTGATTCAACTCTGACAATTAACCTTATATATATATATATATATATATAATTAGGAGGATTTGAAATAATCATAATTAAGTAATTCATCAAGTCTGGAAGAAACCTCAACAGAATGCAGAAAGAACTGGACAGCTATATTGGGGACTCATCAGCAGTGCGCATCCATTACCGAGAATTGAAACCCGAACAGTTACGATAGTAGGCAAAGGCCATACCAACTGTACCATTGGGCCTCAATGACAAAGAGGTAACGAATTTTATCAGTTCTGACTGGTAGTTGGGCCTGGCAAAGGAAGCAAAAATTCTGATTCATATCAAAAGAAATTTCACACCTACAAGTTTAAAGGAGATGCAAGAATTCCAGCCATCCACATCAGTGATAGAAAAGGAAGAGCAGAAGAGGGGGTCATGATCAATTTACTAGCAGAGAAACAAGCAGAATTATATGATAATGTAAATACACTTCTAATGATTTTACTGTAATGCAAATAATTTTATTATAGAAATTCATTGCAAAAGAGGAAAGCAATTGTCAGGTGTTAATGAACTCTTACTGACAGGACAGTAATGTTATGTGTATAATTTTTTATTCTTTTTATGGCATATCAAATTGGGTCATTTAATGCTGAGATTTAATGTATTTTCCTAAATAAAATCTTTTATAGGTATTGTTGGTAATTTTACTACAAATAGGTATTTTTATATTTTCATAGTGTTTTGGTTTTGTTTGGAGATTCACTAGTTGCCTATAGCTGGGACCCTAACAGGCGCTACCACCCCACGTTAGGGTGGACCTTGGAACAACAGCAATTAAAAGGTGGTTCCACAATCCTCAAAACTTCCAATTTCCTGATCAGAGGCCTTGCTGCCGGATGTAGTTTATCATCATACTCAGGACTGTGTATAATTTAAATATATTGTTAATATTATTGGAATGTATTGCAAATCAAAAAGGAAATGATTGTCATTGGCCAGGAATTCATACGAGTGTTACAGATGGAACAGGACGAACATCGATGTAATTCTAAAACCCACAATAGTCACTTGCAATAACAGGAAATAAAAATAAAATTAGTGTACAATTACAAAATTTAGATTTTATTCTGCCTGTGGGAGTGGTAAGAAAAAGATAAAAGAATCTAAATTTTAATTTAGATACTTACCGAGTTTTTTCTTCATTGCAGAAAAAATTCACAGTATGGAACGTACAGAATGTTCTGTGGAAACATGAAACAAAAGAAAAAAAAAAC